ATATCGCCTATCGATCTCTTATGCAATCGAGTCCCCGATCGAAATGGAATTCCAATTTCCAATTTCCATATCAACTCCAGTTCAAAAGCGACTCTAAAAAGTCTCTTGAAATGATTATTAATGACAATTAACATAACGATATGCGAGATCCAGAGATCTATCTGTTGGTGTCTGCTGTCTGCTGTTTCTGTAGCCATTGCTGTCACATGACACTTGACTGTAGGTGGGGTCTCTCTCCGGTGTCTCTCTCTGGGGTCTCTGCTGGGGTTTCTGTGGGTTCCGGAGTCTGTGGGCAAGGTGTAGAACCTGTTTGTGGCTCCAGAGCAATGATAATTTCTTGCTGTCATCGTGATCGACTCAATGAGCACCGCTAAGAGCAAAACGGGGCAACAAGTTGGGGGACTACAAAATAATAATAATAATAATGCAAAGAAAAATGTACTTTTGTGGTAATAGGTTAGCCTGCACACAGATACAGATACAGAAACACGCATGCACAGATACATACATAGATGCAAAGGCATGTCATTAAACTAGACACTGGGGAGAGAGAAAGATAGAGAGAAAGATGGAGAGAGAGGCCACAGCTTGGCCCGGCCCGGCCCGGACCCAACCGGACCGGCTAAAAAGTCTGTGCCCCTCTGACCGCCCTTCTATTCCCTCCCCTCCCCTACCCATCCCTGCCCCTCTCAACAGTCTGTGTCATGGCACATTTCCACATTTCTCTGGCTCTCTCTCTCTCTGTCTTTCGCTAGATTTTAGCCGGCGGCGGCGGCGGCGGTGCCCATTATTCATGCCAATTTCTACAAGTTTTTCTCTTGTGTGATTCTTTTTTCTACTTTATTTTTCATTGTCTGTTGTATTTGTTCTTGGCTTAAGTGGACAATGTACAGAGATATGGTATGTGTACCCAAATACATATTTATAGGCGGATGTGTGCACCCTTTTGCTTGTTTCAAGCCCATTCCCATTCATTTCTGTAGCTTTGCAGCTTCCAGGGGAAGCCAGAGAATGGGAACTCTACAGGGAGAAAGGAAGGAAGGATGGATTGAATAAAGAAAGACGGAGCAATGCAGGAGCAAAAGGATCCTTCATTCGATTCGGCAGAGTCATGGAAGGAATAACGAAAAGAAATAATCTAGAAATGCAATAAAAGAGCAGAGAATGTGAATGAATTGAGCGATGAATGAATGAATGAATGGAAGAAGCTTCATACATACATATAACCGATTGAAAGCCCTAAGAAGTGAATGAATGATTAAGAGGTATGCCTCAGTTCGAGCTCTGGCATTGCGACTTGTTGCACGCTGTACGTTGCACATGAATTTGTGATTCTCTTGCAACTTGCTGCCTGCCTGCCAGCCAGCCTGCCAGCCAGCCTGCCAGCCAGCCTGCCAGCCACTGTCTGTGCTGTGTAGCATTCTTGGCAAAACTGGGCCAACGTCTGCTTATGGCCAAAGCCCCCTACCCCCCTACCCGCCTACCCCCCTACCCCACTAGTACACTTTGTACACTTTTCATTTGTTTGCACTTGGCTGAGCGTTCCGTTTCATTTCATTAAATTGCAGTCGATGTTGATTCCCCCGAACGGAGTTTGCTCCTCCATTCGAGCCGCTGCACAGACAGCTGTGCGATGTTGTCATCGCTCCTACGCCCATTTCTGCAGCATAACCAAAACCAGAGATTTTTCATTTCACTCTTTCCGAGGTCGCCTCCGACCTGTGGCTGTGGCTGTGGCAAGACGACTGGTGTCTGCGAAGAGACCAAAAGCTTAGCCCACGCTTGGCCACAGTCGGAGGGGGCTGCAGGAGGGGAGGGGAGGGGCCAACTCAATCAAATGATTTGACTTTATGGATTTATGGCTTTTCCAACCTTCTCTGGCTTGACATTTCCCAATCGAAAGAGTCCCCTCTGGACAGCAGCCTCTACGCACATGCTGTGATCTGTGGTTCTAAAAGTATGTGGAATATGTATTGCACCTACAAATACACACATATTATATATAGATCCATGATTTTTGGCAACAGAGAAAGAGAAAAGATCCAGAGCGAGAGCGAGAGCGAGAGCGAGGGGGAGCGATTGGTTGGGGAAGAGCGACGTCGGTTTTTAAATAAATGACAAATATGCAAAAGGCAGACAGCCGTTCGTTCTACACATACAGACACACCTTGTCCCCTCTTTGCCCCTCTCCTTATACATATATCGTATATAGATATAGAATTCGGTGACGCAAACTGCGACAGACATTACACATGGCCGAGTTGCCCCAAAAAAAAGTGAGAAGAAATACAAAATAGAAGAAAACGGAAGTGGTCGGCCGTCGGACGACTGTCCTTGTGGTAGCGCTGTGGTCTCCGCTCCTCTGATAAGATCCCGCGCCTTGGCAACAGCCAGGGCCGCCCCGCATGAATATCCAATAATGATATTAACTTTTTATTGATAATACACGTATGGCTCTGCATTGGATCATTGGATAACCCACACAGACACCCACACAGGGGTCTCTCGTCTCCACTTGCCCTCACACTCGCACACACACTCGCACACACACTCGCACACACACTCGCACACACACTCGCACACACACTCACACTCACACTGCAGTTACAGAGATCGAACCAACTAAGGAAGTGAAGTAAATAAAAGCCTTAACCAGAGATCGCGGACGACAGCCGAGAGACCGTTTGGTTTCAATTACGAAAATGGTCATTAAAATCTCTTGTGACGGCAACAAGTTTGTTGCTTAAGCCCAGAGCCATCGGTACAGGTGTGTGTGTGTGTGTGCCAGTGGCTGAGTTTGTGTTGGCCATAAAAGGTCCAAACGGGTGGAGCTGCACTTGCTTGAAATATGTCTGTGTGTGGATACTCTTGTGCCGCCAAGAAGTATTTTGACTGTTTGATCAGGTGGTGGGGAGGAGAGGAAGTGCAGAAATACACCATTAGAGCTGTAAGCTTAATCAGTGTAAGCAGTTAAGCAGTTAACTGTAAGCAGTGTTCGAAGTGTCAAAACTCTGCTGTATGCACGAGAAGAAGTGCAAGCAGTCGAGGAAGAGGTTACGAAAACTGTACCTAAATGGGTACATTTTCTGTGTTTGATAAATGTTTCTGTACCAATTATTTTAAAATAACACATTTCCAAATACATTATTCTTTCTATAATTAATAGAATTATTGATGTTTACCCCATTTTATCCCGTGGCTAGAATTCCCTTTAAACGCTTTCCTTCCCCCAAAAATCCTCAGGTCTAATTCTGATTTTGATGAATATACTTTTTCAAGCGTCTGTCAACCATACTAAACCATTTTTTCCCCAAATGTAATTCAAAATGGGAAATGATAGATAAGATATGTACGTGCGGTAAGGGCATTCCATGGTCTTCAGGCCTTGGCTACCGTCTTGGCCAATTCCGTATGCGGGCCACATGGCGCGACTCATTCGACAATCATTCATACCGCATAACGGGGCTTAAGCGAGTGGTCAACAAACCGAACTTACCTCCCACCCGGCCCCAGAGGAAGTTCCCTTCCGAGTCACTTGTGGCTCGCGAATATTTATAAATCATACGAGTTTAGTCTCTACATATGTAGTCTCTCTATATGTACATATATATGCGCACAAAGTACGATATGGGAAGTAGCTAATTATCTCTCTCTTTCTCTCTCTCTTTCTGTCTTTTCGTGGCTGAGCGTTGCGCCAAATTCAATTAGCCAACTGTGTTATCTGTTGGGGGGCCAGCTTAGATAGGGCCTGCTCCTCTGGCCACAAATATTTGGCCACATTTGTTGGATCTTCGCAAATAGAGCGTTTTTTGTTCTGGCTGTTTATCGCTCGGGTGTATCTCATTTGGTTATTCATTGCCTATACGCACAGATGGCCAGGCGTGACACTGTGCCCATCTCTCTCTCTCTCACTCTCTGTTTATCGCTATGTATCTCTCCATCCGTCTCTGTTGCTGGCAGCGTGGGCGATGCTGTAATGACAGAGAAAACTGTTACAAGGCTGTGTCAACTTCTATAGGCATTCCATTGCCCCAGCTAGCATATCCCCCCACTCACCACTCACCACTCGTTTCTGTTTTCACACAGTTTTCCGTTCTGGTTCTTGTTTTTGGTTGGTGTTTTTTAATTGCTCGTCGAAATGCCATTAACAGGGGCCATTCCATGCCATGGATAAGTGCCACAAATTGACCGGAGGCTGCCAGTCCGGAGAGTTCAGGCGAAAACTACATTCATAAAAATGTAGGTTCTTAACCCAAATGGCGATGACAGGCCGCCTTTGGCCACCAGGCGGACAGACTTGGGCCGCAGATAAGCCAGATATTCAGATACGCAAAGCGGATCGGCAAGTGCCAACAGATTTAGCGAATTTTTGTCTATTTTCTCACATCCCCAAAGAACAAGAGAATGAGCCTGAAAACAAAAACCAAACGATTGCCAAATAATGTGCATTTATTTATACACTTTGGGCCATTGTGCTGATCGAATCCTCATTCACTTTACTTGGTTAAAGCCGAGCTAAAAGTGGTTGGGTCCTGCCCACATCTCTGTCGATTGATATTTTGAGCTGCAGAACGGCCTTGCTCCTCCTCCTCCACAGTCTATAGAAACTGGCATATCATTTCCAATTCAAAAATTCCAACAGAAACGTAGACACAGAAAAAAAAATTGGCGCAACAAAATGATAAAGGAGCACGAATTTATATTTAAATTTGAATTAACTGCTTAGCAGCACTGCTTTTCATAATTATCCCATGCTTATCGGTACCGCTTTACATAACTGGTCCCATCTTTTCTTCCGTACCGTAAACTGCTTGATAAGTGGTGGAATTTTTTTACTTAATTTTCAACCACAAACAGAGCCTTTCCCTTGTAATTTTGAAACTCTTCTCACAAAGATCTCTTGTAATCCCTTGTTACAGATTCTACAAAACTTGGGAAAAGTGGATCGGACTGCAGATGAAATCTTCGACGACCACTTGAACAACTTCAATCGCCAACAAATGAGCGCCAACAGATTACAGAAGGAATTCAACAATTATATAAGATGTGTTCGCGGTAAGGCACATTACATGGCCTGTCAGAATCTGTGTTTTTCAACAATCTTGTATCTTATCTGTTCCGACAGCTGCACAAACCGCCTCCAAGTCCCTGATGGATGCCGTGTGCGAGATCTACGAGCCACAGTGGAGCGGCTACGAAGCCCTGCAAGCACAGACTGGCGCCTCGGACAGCTTGTGGGCGGACTTTGCACATAAACTGGGGGACCAAGTGCTCATACCACTCAATACATACACCGGACAATTTCCCGAAATGAAGGCAAGCCCTGGCGAAGATTTCTCAGCCAAAGGAAGGAGATCATACTAATGTTTATGCTAATGTATTGCTTGTATCGCTGCAGAAAAAAGTTGAGAAGCGCAACCGAAAGCTGATTGACTACGATGGCCAGCGCCATTCGTTCCAAAATCTCCAGGCCAATGCCAACAAACGCAAAGACGACGTCAAGGTGGGTAGAGAGTGATCCTGTGATCTGTGCTCTTGGCTCTTGGCTAACATTCTGTTAATTTAGCTGACCAAGGGACGCGAACAGCTGGAGGAGGCCCGACGCACCTACGAGATCCTCAACACGGAACTGCACGACGAGCTGCCCGCCCTGTACGACTCGAGAATACTGTTTCTGGTGACCAACTTGCAGACGCTCTTCGCCACCGAGCAGGTCTTCCACAACGAAACGTCCAAGGTGCGCCCCAGAGCCAATAGAATTGCAGAAAAGCACTTAAATCTCTCTGTTGTACCTCTCCAGATATACTCGGAGCTGGAGGCGATTGTTGACAAACTGGCCACAGAATCGCAGCGCGGCTCTAACACGCTCCGCAAACAGACAAGTAAGTTGTACTGTACATACAAGTGTGTACATATAGCCGCCGTCATATGGCTGATGCTGATGCTGACTCCCCTGACTCCCCTACTCTCCGCTCGCACACAGGCAATGCCATCAAGACGTCGAGTCCAGTGCAGTCGCCGGTTAACAAGCTGAACAACGCCAGCATCAACAGCACCAACTACCAGAATCAAATTACCACAAACGGGGGCTCCAGTCTGGCGAACAGCCGTAAGTACAGCCCCCTCCTCAGGGGTGTTGTCCCTCTCTTACGCCCACTCTGGCTCTCTGTCTATCTCTGATCCTTAATTATTCTCTGTTACTTATTGAATTATGTTTGTTTCTTTACCCTTTTCGTTATCCTATTCTTTTGCTAAAAACGAACAAATAATTATAATTATAAATTGCTCGAAACTGTACAAAAAAAATCTCATTGCAAAACCAAATCCAAACCCCTCCCCTTTAAAGAATAACTTTATTTCGGATACTATAAGAAACAGAGCTCAATATAATACACAACATATAGAAAGAATATTTGCATATCCCGCACTGTATAGTCTCTATGGTCTATGAATGATGATGATTTCGCTGTAGTTTTGGCAATTTATAAGATATATGTATTTGTTTTTACTTTGTTTCAAATTTAATTGGCAACTAATTCTGTTAACTTTTTCGTTCTAAAGTTGAGTTTTAAACTAAAAACATTTTGGCATTGCGAGAACATTCCATTTATAGACGATCTCCCGATTGTAAATAAAAACAAAATTTTTGGCAGCGGCGGCCTGGGCTAGACCTAATCTGTACCATATAAAAATACTATAGCCTGTAAGGTCCGGTCCCCCAATCTCCCCAATGGATCCGAGAGCAGAAGACATGCCATTGTATTTACATGTGTGTGTGGGATGGGCTGGTCCAGGCTGTGGACTGTGGACTGGGGACTGGGGACCGTGGTCAAATGGAATGTTGCATGTTCTTGTCGAAATTGAAATGTCACTTAACGCCCTTTAACCTGCATGTCCTGAGTTATATTTGATTTATTTTCTCTCTTTTTATTTGATCTTTTGTTTGGAATGATGCTCTCCTCTCTAACCACAAAAAACAAACACCAATTGAATGAAATAATACAATCGAATCGAATGCATTCAAACACCAAAATCAATTCAACAACAACATCGAACGTATAAAAATGCAATCAAAATGAAACCACACAAAAAACACGATAAATATAAACTATACAAATGTAGCAACATCCACGAGCTCGTCCCTGCAAGAGCCGAGATTTGATTCCATTTCTTCAACACCAGAACCGACGCCGGAGTCGCCGTCGCCGCCGCCAAATTTAAAGCAGCGCATCAGTAGCAGCCCAGTGCCAAGCAGTCCAACGCCGGCGGATGGGGTAAATGGTGCGACGACCATAAGCAGCGCCCAAGCAATGGACATTGCCGAGCTAAGCAGTCCGAATGCCAACACGAAGATCACAACCACCACACAGACAACGACAGTGACAAAGGCAGAGGAACAAAAAGCAGCAGGAGAGGGAGCAGCAGAATCAGCAGCAGCACCCATCCAGGTGAACGGTAATGGCAACAACAATCAATCCCCGGCAAGCAGTGCCAGTGCACAGGCAAAGGAAAAGGAAAACATCAGCAGCAGCACTGCCAGTGGCGGGGGCGGTGGAGGCAAGCATCCCAAAGAGCTGCCCACAACAACAACGAATGCCGAAGCAGCGGCCGAGGCGGCCGCCAATAACGGCAACTCAATCGAGGAGCACAAGCAGAAGAAATTAGGTAATACAGCGATAGGAATCACCACTACTACTACCACCAAGCACTTAGTTACATCAACAGATACAGATAAAGATACAGATACCGTTACAAATACAAGTAGAAGTACAGTCAGCAATCAGATCAGTAGGCAATTAGTTCATAGACAAACCGTTAATAATGCTAATAAGAATCCGTTCGAAGAGGACGATGAGTGCATCTACGAGGTTCCCAATGGTGAGTAAACCTCAATACGAGTCCACTGGGTCCACTGTCTCTCTAGCTCCTAGCTCTCTCTCTCTCTCTCTTAATCTCTCTGTGTAAATCTTTGTCACTATCTCTCTGCATCCCCCACTTATAAGTACGCTGTGCGCCGTGTCGTCTCGTCAGAGAACTAACTGGGATCAGACCCCAAACTCAAAAGGGTCAGGGTCAGCCTCAGGCTCGGGCCTGTCTAATTTTGTTGTCAACTAAAGCCGTAGATTCCCATTGCGCGGAGCACTTTATATTGTATTGTATTGTAATGTTTGGTGTGTGGCATGCTGCAAGGGGCATCCACTCTAGCAGGCTCTATCGAACCCACTCATCTGACATTGACATTGGCGGTCATCTCTGTTCTCATCCCACGGCTTGCAAACTTATCTCTGTTCTCATTTGGGCTTAGTTTTAATGTCGTATTAATTGGGTGGGAGTGGAGAACGCTACGCTACTGGTTACAGGTGTCCTTCATCACGTATGTAGGCTATTCTTACTATTATTATTGATTTATCCAGCTCAACCACCCACTCTCGATTCACGATCAAACACCAATCAATTCCATCCATCCATAATGTCATTCATTAATCGCTTGCACGTACGCTGCTTCAATCGTTGGTTTATTCCCCGCGCTGAAACCCACTGACCCCCTCCTGGACACAGAGCCCTGACCACTAACTCCACGAGGAATACTAACCCCGTTTGGCCAAGATTGCAACTTTGTTGTTCCGCTGCGTGCGTTTTTGTCTACTAAACAGAGCTGTGCTATGCCACCATTGATGTACACTATGTGCGGAATGTACTTGAGCACGGGTCCTAAACTAAACCAGAACCGCACTTCTCTTTCCACACAGATGCCAACACGGCTGACTTACCGGCCGGCGTGCTCTACCGAGTGAAGGCCACCTACGGCTACGTGAAGGAGGATGTGGACGAGCTGAGCTTCGAGATTGGGGACACCATTCGCGTGATCGAGTACGATGATCCCGAGGATCAGGTAAAGTTAATGCAGTTGAACTCCCTTCTGGGTCGTCCTGTCCTGTCTTGTCTTTGAGCTAGTTTCCCCCTCCCCGCTTGTGGCAGATGGACACACTTCTTGTCTTTATTGAGTGCAGTTTTTCCTTACCAATTTACAGGAGGAGGGCTGGCTAATGGGTCAGAAGGAGGGCACCAGCGAGAAGGGCCTCTTCCCCGCCAACTTCACACGCCCCATCTGAGCGGAGGTGGACGACCGGAGCCGTAGCTGAGAACCAATCCACCAAACAGCCACACAAACTGCAGTCCCCACGCCACCACACCCCACCCAACATTTTGTTAAACCATAAATATCTACAAAACGGAAATCCCAATCCAAACTTTTGGCCAAACTTTCATTATTAAAATTGTCTTGTTCTGTGAAACGCATTCTTTCGATTAGCAATCCGTCGATTGTTAGATCAGTGCTTCCAGTTATTATTAATTATTATTGTTGAACGCCATGGCAGACCACACCACACCACGCAAAGGAATATCGAAGCGAATGGCATTAAAACACACACCACACTTTGAGGACGTTTCAAATTTTATTTTCTAGTTTTAAGCCTCGGCAAATCTACGTATACATATATTATTTGTTAAAACTACTATTGTGCTCATAATTAATGCGAACAAAGTGTAATAAGTTAAAGGCAACACACACAAATTCAACGCATATCGCTCGAAAGAAAAGAGTAATGTAATTGTTAAAAAAAATTAAGAAACAAAGAAGGAGGCATGGAGGAGAATATAACCTTAACCTGAACATTTTGTATGTGTATTTTGCAAATATGTAGTACGAGTTTTTTATAGTCAATTGTGTGTATCGTGTATCTGGAGTGAATCGGGATGGCCAGTAGAAATTCCCGTCTGTTGACTCCAGGACAGGACTTGGATTTTGATTTGGAAATGGAAATTGTTTTCAAATAGGAACTTGTAATTGTATTTTTTTCTTCATCTTTTTGTTAAACAAACTCGAACTAGCACCAGCTTTATAACACGAGAACAATCCAATAGTCACTAACAGATCGATTCGAGGTTTTATTTTACTTTAATTGATTATAAATCGAATGAATTGCTCGACCCGACACGAAATAATTGTTTAAATTGTGCACACTGTAAAGTTATTATTTAAATTTTATTTAATTAATTTAAACACTTATTTATCGCATGAATATATTGAACAAATGATAATAATTTACAAAAATGCAAATAAAACATAGATTAAACGATGTATTTGGATTTTAAATTTGAACGGAGTGCGGGTAAGCAGTAATTTGCAGCACTGGGAGTTCGGTATTTATTCGGTATTATATCGATGTAGGGCACGATGTAGGTGACCGTATTTGGTTAAAAATGACAGCAGCCTATTTTGTGCGGTAGGTTATCGAATCTTAACTATATAAATCGAAGTGTGACCGTATATATCGGCGCTTTCATGGGCCTTAAATAAAGAAAATAACGGCCAAGACTTATTAAGATTTAAGATTATTAAATGAAATTAATGAAACAATTATTTCGAATAGGCCAATCATGTATAGAATTGATTCATCAATCGTACAAAATTGATTGGGCATGGCTAAATGTTCTATATAGATAGTATTATTCAACGGAACAAAGAATATGAGGAATTTGTCGTTTTTTGAATCGAATTTTATTTCGCCGCAGTTTCGCTTTAGCAACAATGAGTCCCATTCCATACACAATGTTGCGGCAACATTTACTTGAAACCCGTTTTTTGGCAAAAATAAATTACTTACAAGCAATTTAAAGAAGCAATCTTGTAGAAAATGCATTTATCTATGGGATAAAGCTAAGTGGGCAAATCTATATAGCTTTGCAATACCCGATTCGCCGCAGTTTCGCGTTAGCAACAATGAGTCCCATTCCATACACAAATGTTGCTAATTTACCATCAACATTGCAGCTGTTTTTTTGTTGAACTTTTTTGCTTAAACCTTCTTTAGTCAAAATACAATAAAAGCAAGGACTAAAAACTGGCCAGTTAAGTAGAAAATTGATTCCTTTATCGTATAAAATTATGTGGGCATTGATAAAGGCTCGGTTGACAACATTTAAATCCTTGTCGCTCACATTCAAAAAAGTTCGATTTGGCGCGCACCACTCGGTATATTTTTCAAGTGAGACCGTATATTTTGGTGCTGTTCTGAGGGTCATACTGTAGAAATACTGGTTTTCGCCGCGCTCCCATGGTATTTTTGTCAATTTCATCAATCTATTAATTTAATTTTCAGTGTTATACAAAAATCCAATAAATGCAAGTATTTCGAATAGGCCAATCATGTATAGAATTGATTCATCAATCGTACAAAATTGAGTGGGCATGGCTAAATGTTCCATATAGATAGTATTATTCAACGGAACAAAGAATATAAGGAATTGGTCGTTTTTTTTAATTCGCCGCAGTTCGCCGCAAATTCGCTTTAGCAACAATGAGTCTCGTTCCATACACAATGTTGCACATTCCATACACACTGTTGCAGCAACATTTACTTGAAAACCGTTTTTTGGTCAAAATATAATACATTAAGGTAATTAAAAGAAGCAATCTTGTAGAAAATGCATTTATCTATGGGATAAAGCTAAGTGGGCATCTATAGCTTGAAATATAGGCAATACCCGATTCGCCGCAGTTTCGCTATTGCAACAATGAGTCTCATTCCATACACAAACATGTTGCTAATTCCATGCACACATACCCTGGGGGAAAGGGATGTTATAGAATTGTGAATACGTTTGTCTTCCAAGGCTCAGTAGGTATCATGATCGACATAAATATATACAAGATACTAATAATACACATGAATAAGTCAAAAACATATCAATTTGAGAAAAGGTCTTAACAAATCACGTTTCATCTTCATATAAAATTAACAATATAGGGTGTACACAGGCCTATACACGCATCATGTCTTCAAATACCAGCAACATTGCGACTGTTTTTTTGTTGAACTTTTTCGTTTAACCCTTTTTTTACAATAAATACAATAAAAGCAAGGATTAAAAACCATCCAATCTTGTAGAAAATTGATTCATCAATGGGCATAAACTATGTGGGCACGGCTAAAAGTTCTATATAGCTAGTAATATTCAACGGAATATCAAAAACGAGGAATATGTAAAGCAGAACTTGAATTCGTCAGTATATCTACGGTATATTTTCAAAGTAAGACGGTATGTTTCGGTATATATCTGAGGGTCGGACCGTATATCGATAAATCCGCGGTCACACTGCTGTGTGGATTTTGCGTGTGTAAATACTTGAAAAAATTTAAGAAAAACAAGCAAAAAGAGTTTCTGGTCGTGCTTCAACGTTAGCGAACAATGCAAAATCAAATATGTTGTGAGTTTCGCCAAAAATCCGTGGACACACCGACAGCCAGGCAACCAGCAATCGAATCTGGTCTCCGTCTCGACACCACAATTGCCAGTCGGCACAAAAAAACACCCTGAAATCGATTGTGAAGTGCGCTTTAAGTTGAAATGCATGTGCAAGGGCCTGAGCAAACGCCAAATAAAAGTAATGTTAAACAATTGTTGAGCGGATTGGGCAATTTTCGCGTTGCTTTTCCACCAAAATTTTTTCATGTTCGTTTTTGGCCTCGCCCGTCGTCGTCGCTCTGTGTGTATTCGTTTCGCCGATAAAGCAGTTCGCCGCTCTAGGGAGTGCGAGTGAAACAGATATAGCGGTGACAACACTGCAGGGCACTGCTTGTCAGCAAAAAACACCATCGCCACAAAAAAAAAAAAAACCAAAAGTGTTGCAAAAACTCTGTCGTGGGGGTTGGATGGGCGATAATTGAGCGTTTTCGAGTGTTTATACGGGAATATAAAGAAGAAATACAAAAGGCACGTTAAAACTATATGAAATGTGCACCTGCAACGGCGGTGCTGAAAAATTTCAGCCCCTGCCTGACATGAGTTCCCTGTGGGTGTCGATAAGGCAGGGCAGGGCATGATACGATTGTGGGTGGCGCTGATGGGTGGTGGGAGGTCGAACCTCCAGTTCTCGGTTGTGTTTACTTTAACCAATATGATACGATACGACAATTGTACTCGTATTGGCAATGCATTCTAATAATTTCTGCTCTGTTCTTACTCTCTTTTTCGTTTCTCTCACTCTCTCAATCTCACTCTTATTCCACCTGCAGTTCCACTGCATACAGAAAAATAAACAAACACAAGAAGCATAAAGTATGCAGAAAATTAAACACAAAAGGAGCCATTAAGTGTTGCGTGTGAAAGAAATTAACGTTTTTGTGCAGCTCGTCGTCGTCGTCATACAACCTTTCTGTTTCAATAGCACGTACAATGGATATTTGTTGAAACTTTGTTGCATTTACAAACTGGTGTTTAAGAACAACAACAACAACAAGAAAAACAACAGCGACAACCCTCGGAGGCACACGCAAAGCAAAAGAAAGAAAGGAAAAACAAAAAAAATTAATATATACATTTATATAGCATCAAATTTACATTAAGCGCCAAGTCGAGGAGGGGACAAAGAAGAAGTAATTTTTATTGTAGGACAAACGCACCAGTAAAATTAATCAATCAACTACACGTTCCTTAAAACAAATGTTTTCCAAACCGCAAACCAACTAAACGAAATATGCTTTTGAATTAGTTTAAGCAGACAACAGCACAGCACAAAACCAGAACAAGCAAAGCCATAAAAAGCGCAAAAAACCATTTTAATTTAACACCAACAAAAGCCTGTGGAGACGATATATACAAATATATGTCGAGATATATATCACACCATATATACATATTTATATAGGAACCACCACTACCCCGGGTGTCCAAACATAACGACACCGATTAAGTCAAACTGCAGGGAAAACCACAACAAAACACTCAGAGAGCCAGCAAAGGAAAAAATCTATTTTTTGTATTGCTTAGTGCTGGCAAACAAAAAGAAAGGAAGGACAGAACATCGTATTGGAGAATCTCGTCAGATTAAGTGGATTTCTATCTCCGATAAAGAACTGAGTAAGTAGCGCCCCTGCACACATCTACTGCAACCTATTGACATCCCGACCGACCACTTGTTGCCTGAGATGAAAATTGCATGCATCAATCAAGCTCTCAAACATTGATAGAATTTCCCAAACGCACTGTACACATATATGTTTTATATGTGCTATATGGTTAACTTTTGATAAGCGGCTGCAACAGTGCAGGGCGCAATGTAATTATAGTCGCAATGAGTAACTTTATGGCATTTCCGCGTCTGGAGGAAGTTCTCCCAGATCTGACCAGATCCACGAAGGCGACAACAGTAGCCTAGCCGCAGAAGTCATATCGAGATTAAGAAGACAAATGGAAAGATAGTTAGTATCCCCTTATCATATGCATATAAGAAAAAGATAAGAACGTACCCCCGTCCAGCTGGTGGCATGATACCTATATCTAGCAAACTATTGTTAGAAAAAGCTCCTATGTGCCAATTCTCGGTCCCGTCCCCCAGACGTGCCCCTGGCCATGGCCCTGCGAATGCCCCTGCCCCTGCCCCTGAATCACCAGCTACTGCTAATTAGATTTTCTAGCTTTGCTCAGTGGCAAGTGTTTCTTTTTCTTTTTCTTGTTCCTTTTTCCATTTCCATCAATAACCTTATCCCGGGTAGAGGAGCCGCCTGCTATTACTCCTCCTGGCATCCAGAGGTGGCTCCTATTTGCCGGCAGGGCAGCTACTTCAAAGCTTTCCCTGATTCCCTCTGCAGTCGCCTCGGGCTGGGTATTCCATCGATATTTTGTAGTTTTCCGTCTGAAAGCCTTCCCATTTCCATCCTACATATGCATTTGCGCCACCAATTGGATTAGCTAGCACTCGATACGGGAAGCGGCTGCAGCGGCAACGGCAGTGGCAGTGGCAGCAGAGAGGAAATAGCGCCAGTGACCTAGGAATGGGTGACGCATTGGGCTCCGGACTCCGGTCTCTTGAAAACTATCTTCACGAACGAAGAGGTTTCAAAAATGTCCCCATCAAATAGCTTTAAGAACACGTAAATATTAGGCCCCGAGTCGAGTCGAATATGGTTCACCCGGATGGGGAACACTCTCGTGAACTTGTGACTGCGCGAAGCCATAGATTTTCCAAAATCAGCTTTCTCGCATTGAACTTGGGCTGGACGCATCGCATCGCATCGTGGCCAGGCCGGACCCGGCCACTTCCCAATCTGTTGGCCATTGCCCACCTGTGTGTGTGTTTGTGTGTGGCGATTAGCAGGGGGAATGGCAACGGTAGATGGCTGGCACGGCTCTTGTTCATGGTGCATGCGCGCAGAGAGGGCCAGGCCAGGCCCAGACCCAGACCCAGACCCACAGCCAAAGCCAATGCCAATGCCATGGCCAGTGGCATACACCCGCCATCGCCGTTGCCATTGCCATTGCCGTTGCCGTTGCCGTTTCCGTCGCTGTCGTCGTCGTCAGTTTGTGAGGAGGCAAATATGAAATGTTAATTGCCAATACTGGACACAACGCGGCGAACTCTCGGTGAGCTAACAAGTGTGTTAGGTCGGTCTGTAGGGCCCATATATGCCATATATATATAGATAGTTATGTGTGCTCGTTTATATAATGGAATTCTAAATCAAAGTGTCTTCTTGCACCACCCGCAGATGTTCTTGGATCGCTGGACTACAAGGGGAACCAATCGTCGTGTCATTCGTCATTCGTGCATCAGTCATAGTCGGAGACAGAGTCACAGAGTCTGGATTCTGGAGTCTGGAGTCTGGAGTCTGGTCAAGGAATTTAGTGTAAAGCCTATAAGAATAAGCCTTCCCATCGAGGGAAACAAAAGTGAAAGTGAGAGGGAAAGTAAGCAATAGCCAAAGAGAGCCTGTCGAGAGTGGATTGTGGCAGCGGGAGGATCAGAGAGTGAGCAACGCCAAAGTACAAATGCATAAATCGAAACTGAATCTATAACTTAGAACCGCGTATCAAGCAATTCCCCTGGATGCATACGTATAATCCCAGGACACAAGCACCAATCAAATCCAATTTAGAAGCAGCAACAGCAGCCGCCTCAGCCTCAACAGATCCCCCAAACAATTAGATTAGCCAACAGCAGAGAGATAGATAGACGGGCAGAGACAGCGACAGCGACAGGCAAGCCAGAGCTCTGTAGCCAGCAGCTCCTCCTCGTCATCATCCTCATCCAATTTTGCAAGCGTAACGGAGAGTCGACGTAGTGGCTGCAGCACGCGTAAGCGTCCATAAATCTAGTTAGCATGGAGTGCTGTTTATCGGAAGAGGCAAAGGAACAAAAGCGCATCAATCAGGAAATCGAGAAGCAGTTGCGCCGCGACAAGCGAGATGCGCGACGGGAACTTAAATTGCTGTTGCTTGGTAAGTACCCCGCCCCTGTGCAGTACCCCCGCAGGACCCTGCCAGGATGTGTTCGAGTGCACAGGATGTAGATGTAGACCCGCGACATGTGTGCTATAGCATTTTGATTGCACTTAGCTTGGTTTAATGCAATTGAACTACCGCTAATTGCAAGAGAGTGCCCTTTGCACCGTGAGCAGAACAAAATCGAAGCCCCACAACAGCCCCCCTCTACCACTTTTGGAACAATCCGGTTCAAAACTAAAAATATAATTTAACATAATGTGATGGCCTCCCCCCATTTGTAGGCACGGGCGAGTCCGGCAAGTCAACGTTCATCAAACAGATGCGTATTATCCATGGCAGCGGCTACTCGGACGAGGACAAGCGTGGATACATCAAACTGGTGTTCCAGAACATATTCATGGCCATGCAGTCGATGATCAAGGCCATGGACATGCTAAAGATCTCCTATGGCGTTGGAGAGCATAGCGTAAGTTCCTCCATCCATTCACCCAAAGAATCGCTTTACATATTTTGGAACTTCAACAGGAACTGGCCGATCTGGTGATGAGCATTGACTACGAAACAGTTACCACATTCGAGGATCCATTTTTGAACGCCATCAAAACGCTATGGGCCGATGCCGGCATTCAGGAGTGCTACGACCGTCGTAGAGAATACCAATTGACAGATTCAGCCAAATAGTGAGTTACTCGAAGGGAGAAGCGGCCCAACCATGACAGCACAACACAACACAACACAACTCTCGAACACTGAGACTACCACAACCTACAGAACTCTGCATAAACTGTTTTACTAAAAATGATCTCATTTCTGTACACATAGTTATCTGATGGATCTCGACCGTGTGGCTCAACCTGCTTATTTACCCACTGAGCAAGACATTTTGAGAGTTCGTGTGCCGACAACGGGGATCATTGAGTATCCCTTTGACTTAGAAGAAATCAGATTTAGGTAGATACCATCAATATGTACACATCTGTATGTTCCTTGCATGGCATATGATCCTGATCCTGATCCTGTTTGTGTTCTGTGATCTGATCTGTTTCTTTGGTTACTACTTTCTCTTAATATCACTAATTGTTTCGATTAACTAACAAATTGAGATTCTTTTCGAGTTAGAGTACTTTCTTGAAGGGATTAGCCAGGGGTTTTTAACATTTCGCAGCTGTACCTTAGAGAACTGGGACTGACTACGTACGGATTTTGATATCAGTTTGGTTTTTGTTTGTTTTTGAAATGATTTGATTGTGTGCCAATTCCTTCCTTACTTAGCTACTTAAGCGACATAGAGCGCATTTCACAGCCCGACTACCTGGCCACTGAGCAGGATATTCTGCGTGCTCGTGTGCCGACCACTGGCATTCTAGAGTACCCATTCGATTTGGATGGCATTGTGTTTAGGTATCTATTCCACGTATCTATGATCTATCTATGACTGTATTGACCAGGCTAGAGCTAGAGCCGTAGCTGAAACACGGCTAGAACAAGAAGTATTAGAATATATGTATTTGGTAGCGTAGTAATTTGGTATACTTAAATTTATTTGTCTATAGCTTGCGGCTTACTAATGCTTGTTTATTTCGCTGTGAATTGTAGTGCAGATTTTTCCTCTTTCTTTTATTTACCTATGCCAACTATGCTAATATGACTCCTATCTTATACTCCCCTCCCCGATATGTTATACAGAATGGTGGACGTGGGTGGTCAGCGATCGGAGAGAAGAAAGTGGATTCATTGCTTTGAGAATGTGACATCAATCATATTTTTGGTGGCGCTATCGGAATACGATCAGATCTTGTTTGAATCTGATAACGAGGTATGGCATTGCATCTCCTGAACATTTTCGAAATGAAAGATTATTCTCTTCCTCTTTTCCCCTTTTTTTGCAGAACCGAATGGAGGAGTCAAAAGCTTTATTTAGAACTATTATTACGTACCCTTGGTTCCAGAATTCATCAGTTATTCTTTTCCTGAACAAGAAGGACTTGTTGGAGGAGAAAATAATGTATTCGCATTTGGTAGACTACTTTCCCGAATACGATGGTAAGTGTGCCATTGAACGGATCTCTTATCCCATAACTCTGTACGATTTATATGTGGCAACACACGCACCTCACGCAACCAGGTCCGAAGCAGGATCATGCTGCGGCCAAGCAGTTTGTATTGAAAAAGTATTTGGACGCCAATCCAGATCCTGAACGGCAATGCTATTCGCATTTCACAACGGCCACAGGTTGACGACGTTACATTTGAACTCTTGAGCTATCTATATGCTTCTCCCCAGCAAAAATTTCACAACATTATCTGTAGAATCTATGCACTATATATACGCTATCTGTATTGCTAGTTTTGTAGTCTTGCGCTAGATATAACACATCGAAACATCTTCTTTGGCTTATTTTCTGAACAGGTCCACAGCGAGATGCAATCGCGGCACGCGAATTCATACTGCGAATGTTTGTAGACTTAAATCCAGATTCCGAAAAGATTATCTATTCTCATTTCACCTGTGCTACAGGTAAGTGCAGCGAACGTGGGTTGCTTGGGGTGGGCTTTGGAGTGTATGTGCGTGTGAGTCTCATTTTCAGCCTGGAGAGTGTCAGAACTAACTAAGGGCAGAGGTAGAGGTAAAGGTAAAGGTAAAAGTAATCGCCCTTCATAATTTGCATTCGCTTCTGCTGCTACTGCGGAGTATCGCTAGTCAATATTTGAGAGTCAGAGCAGATTGAATTATAACCGAATGCAATTCCTCTATTGGAACACACAGATACCGAAAACATCAAGCTTGTGTTCTGTGCTGTCAAAGATACAATTATGCAAAATGCACTCAAGGAGTTCAATTTGGGTTAAACAATCGCCTGCACCGGATGGAGGACAGGATGCCACGATGGCAGGATGGCAGAATGGCAGAATGGCAGGATTGCAGGATGAGCCGCAATGCAAATGAATATTTGATTTATAATTGTATTTTGAATTTGATTTGAAAGTCCCTTAATAAAAATTCGTATTTATGCGTTATTGATGTCCATTCTGGAATGTCTGTATATACTAATCTTGTGCTGGATCCCCCAAAAGTTCCTAAGGATTATCCAATTTACTAATCTTCTCTTTTGATTTCTTTACTTCGTTTAGATACTGAAAACATAAGGTTTGTGTTTGCAGCTGTTAAGGACACCATTCTGCAATCGAACCTTAAGGAATACAATTTGGTCTAAACTGGATTTGGACCAGTAAACTATTTTTGTGATTTTTACTATATATATATATATATATATATTTATGTATATATGCAAGCACACACCCACGCAAACCACACACACCCAAAAAAAAAACAAAAACAATGTATATGTATATAAATATATACATTCATAATTCCTTTTTCGCATATTAATTAAACACAAAACAAAAAGAAATAAAATAAAAGAAAAGAAAGCGTGAGTACGTGAGAGCGGTGCAGTACGACCCAAGAAAGTTTCGAAAAAATTGTAACACCAGGAACCGAGAAATTGTAGCATAAATAGAGAACAGCAACAGCAACAGCAACAACATAAAAACAGCTACTGCAACTTGCAAAACAAATTGATGTTTATTGAGAGAAATGAATTATGTATAACACAAAATCTGATACAAGTACTAATAATATTTAAACAAATTTATTACTATAGAAGAAACTTTTGTAATAAAAACCGAAGCAAGAATAAAAACCAAAATTAAGAAACTTACATTTAATCAAAATGCTTAGATCGGAACCACAAACGGAAACAAACAAACAACAACATTTTGTCGTACTGAAAGCATAACAAAACAAGCAAAAACATTTACTGAAGAAACTGCAAGCAAAAAACAAAATTTAACCTTAACAACATGCAAGAACTTTTGAATAAAAAACCCCCCGAATAAATATATAGAGTATATATGCATATATACCACGAAGAATATATATATATATATATATATGTTTGGGTGTTTCTCATAACAGTTTGAAGAAGGCATATATGCATATAAGGAGTGTAAAAATATACATACATACATCCAGATAATACATGCTAAGAGGAAGAGGAAGAGAAAGAAACAAAACAAAATCATACATAATACTGTATTTTGTACTAGGCTAAACCGTAAAGTAAATATTGCAACAATTGTTTACAGACATACAAACATATTTATACGTGCATACAAAACAAACATAATACATATATAGCACACGAATGCATATGTAACAATTTATAAACCTATTAATTTGCATTTTGGGAATCAACCACCCCCCGCTCATTGCATTGCATTGCATTGTAATATCTATGATATGTTTCGTAGTAATACCAATAGAAAAACAAACAGAAACGAAAACGAAAAACAAATAACAAAAGATAGGGAAACAAATTTGTAAAGAATGAATGAGAAGGAGAGCCATCTGCATGAAGCGCACACCTTACATCCTAATTAATATTAACACGTGTCTGTGAAATTGTCGATAAACCCCCTCCCTCCCCGGGAAGCAGCCATCCGTGCAGCACCATCCGTGCAACTTATTGATATTCAATCAAACGCCAGGTCCACTTGCAATCCAGTCAAACGCGTCGTTCATTGATCGAAGAGCACTCCTGTCTGAGATGACGGCCTCTGGCTCTCACGTACCTTTGTTGCCATCAAAATTTCAGTCGAGCCATGTTGCTATATATATACGATATATACGATGCTTATGTAAAAATAAAAAAACAACAGTGAAACGATAGCTTGATTTTGGTACGTTCTATGATAATAATAATTTTGATAATCGTTTGCTATTTTATAGATCTAATTAATGTATGCAACGGCGGACGCACTTGCCGGCCGATCCCACAGGCGGCCAGGGGCGTTCGCAGTTTTGTTTTTGTTTTTATAATTTAGTTAATTTAATGTATACAAAGATAAACGATAAACATGATTAGTAACAAAGTGACGCACACCTACAGAATAAACAAAAACATCAAACATTAGCAACAACAAACTATTTATGTAAAAATCCAAATAAACACACAATTTTACTCTAATCAAAAACACACACAAACAAAAGAAACCAACAATTGAAACGTACATACTATATATGTAAAATAAATATGATGCAAAATGTTGTTTCTCATCATTTTATCACATTTACTTTCTTAAACCAAGATTCGAATGCCCCAAAGCCGTAGCAAACGAATCAGTTGCAGTTTATTTTAGACGGAGCCAAAGAGCGTATTGTGTTTGATCTGGATAGCTCGCATATATCTGAGCTCTGCGATCTGAGCGTAGGTTGGACATGGGGACAACAGGGGAGCCTACAGCTTAACCGTTAATCCGAACCGAATCCCAGATGCATCTTAGTTTAAGTACGATCCAACAGTGTGTTGTATAAAGCTTTAATCCGCGTAACCACGTCTAGTAAAAGTAAACACGTAAACGTAAAGTTATTGAACCATTTTTATGATTAATAATTGATTAGCTTTTAAAAAGCTTCGATAAGTCAGTGTGTATTTTAACATAGCAGAGCATATACATAATTAAGTGTTGTCCGGCAAGCATATACTCGAACCCGAATTCTTATAGCCCAATCGGAGTAGGTTTTTGAGGCAGCGCCAGCTTTGGCTTTTCCGGACATTTCGCCTGTGCATTATCTTACATACACACGCGCATGCACACCACACACACACTATACACACACACACACACACATATATATAGTTTTCCGTCCAAAGAATGGCATCAGCAGCGAGAAGACAAAGTCTCCGATAAATTTTGAGTTCGTTTTTGGTTTTGTTGGTGCAGGAATTTCATCTCAATATACAGACACTTTTCGGCGGTTTCAAAAGCACACACATACGAGTACGCTGAGTTGGTTTTACATCGCTATGATTTATTGAAATTTGGTGCCTTCCCACTACTACTACCACGGAATTCACTATTCATGAGACACACAGAATAACACAATATATGAAAAAAGATCTCCACACAGCTCCACGGCGCCATCACCGTCACCCCAGTACTGGCGCCTCCTGTTCCTCTCCACATACATACGAGTATATCCACATAAATATACTATAATTAAACGCCTGTCAGTATGTGTATATGTGCCAGAGTGTTGTATTTTGCTTTGAATGATTGGTTCCTTCTCAAAAGAAGCAGTGCAGTGCAGTAAAGTCGCGCAGTCAGTCAGTCAGCCAGTTGTATGTAAATATTTGGGATATTGTTTGGTGGGGTGGAAGCGAAGCCCCTCGAGAGATACCACATAATCGAGCATATGTATGGAACTATACATTAAACTCAGTAAGAAACTATAATAGACGCAGACTTTGATATAAAACGATTAATGTATGTATTTTGTATTTTTATATACAATTTATAATTTTGGTTACACTTACAATTGTTACGATTAAAAACTAAAACATGCGAAAACCAAAAGTAATGAAGAATCTACTAGATATGTATGTATTTCCAAGATAAAAAAAGCAAAGTGCTTAATGCACAAATCGGATGATTGCTATAGGAATTTCAAAATAACTTTAGGAATTAATATTAACAAAAAACAAAAACGAAACAAAACAAAAAAGAGATTTTCTATGCAACAAACTCAACCAGAACTGCAAGCGTAGGGGAAAACCAACCATTTATATGCAAAACAAAAAACGAGAGATCTATCTCGGGCCCAGAAACTCATTATATGTAGAAGGGTTCCCGGGGCAGGCCACGACCACTGGCCACCACTGTAATCCTTATAAGTTTTGGTGTGTCATTCGATTCGATGGGATGAGTTATTACTTTAAGTATGTGTGTATGTAAATGTATATGGAAGACCACATTCCATGAGAATGAAAGCTTGAAAAGCAACAACTAATTGAATACACCCAAGCAAATAATAATAGCTAATGAAACTCTCCCTTGACTAGCAAACATACGAGTACATAATACTATGAAAAAGCAAAGATAACCCGGATGTATGCTACATTGGGATGAGATGAGCAAGATCATGATGAGATGAGAGTTCAGCTTGTGGCATTCGATTGATATATAGAAGGAAATATTCGAGTCATATTTCTACTTATATACATATAGGGACATACACATACATATGTACATACGAGTACGTATAGGTCCAGAAGCTAAGAAACATCCACAGAATCTGCAAGCTTGGTCTAAGTTTGCAGGCAGCCCAACATGTCCATGGACAGTAAATCATTGAAAACTTTTAGGATTTGAATTGATTGATATTTTATGGATGCTTGGGTTTATTAAATTTGTACGGACGTTTTACGTGCATGGCATGGGGGCAGCTGCATTTGCTAATTTTTGAGATGTTGGATGTCTAAACATTTGTCATACAAATCATATATAAAGGACAGAAGATTGTATGATTGGCAATTGTAACTAATGAAATTTTTTAGCTAATTAAAAAGTATCTATGTACACCTTAATATTAATGAAAAAAACCAATATAATATTAATAAAAGTATATTAAAAAAGAATCCAAGCCCGTGCGCGTTTTAGACATTACAAAAATTACTTTATTTTTTAAACTTATGTTTTACATTCACAATCAATATTATATTTAAAACGTTTTCACACATGGTTTGTTTGTCTTAAGCGCAATAATCTATTCTCCACTCTCTTAGTGTCTTCTGCTCGATTTCGAGTTCAAATTAACAATCACAATGAAACAATATTTTGGTCGTGCTTGGCACTGGCTGCAAAACTTAACTTTGGCTGGCCTGCCATAAGGGAAACAAGCAAACTAAACATCATATCACATCGATTAACATAATATTTTAAACAAAACGAGTGCACATTCAATGGCCTAACGATAATAAGAGACTGCCCTGCCCTTCTTCTTCAATTTGGCACTTGGGTACTCCACTGCCTGGTACGCTCACATGACCACAAAGTCGCTGAGGTTTCGCTCCGGCTGGACCATACTTGGAGGCATCAGCTGCACAAGCTTGTTAAATAGGAAAGCTCGTTTGTTCATGAATTCAGGATTGCACTCTGTTCGTGCTCTTTTTGTGCAAGAGGAGGAGCTGGGACTGGAAGCAGTCTCCGATATGCCAGATGTGGCTAAGCTTTCATTTGATTCCAGGGAAATGTTCTCGGTTGCGCTGCCATCGGACAGATCTGCTGAAGAAAGAAATTTCTTAGCTTCTATGCCATCCAAATGTTACATATCTATCGAAAGTCAAACCTTTAGCTGGTACATCAGCGTTACCATCAAGCTCTTCCGTATTGCGACACAGAGCCGGTGTGGCCACACAACTGTCTCTCTGTTCTAGGCATCCGTCGTGTGTCTTAAAGAGCAGCGAGGCCAGCTTGTGAAACTAGAAAGAAAAAAAAACGGAAAGTCCCAGTTAATCGTTAGTCAGATGACGGGAAAGCAAACCTTACGTTATTCAGCTGCTCTGCATCGTCGTGATCAATGACATCGGCGATGTTGTGACGCAGATACTGCATTGCAGATACTGGATCTTGGCGAGCCATCTCCTCATAGCGCATCTTACGCACTAAGAAACGGCAATGCTTTAGAATCTCGTCCCGTTTAGGCCTGAAATGAGCAGAAGTTAGCCTCTGTCCGGTTGTGCTGGTGAAGAATACCAACTTTTCCAAAGAAAGAATCCAAAAATCGTCTAGTCGCAGTTGTTGTTGCTGACAGATGCCAGGATTTCCCCCAAATAGGTAGTGGTTATTGGCCAATTCATCGTAGACCAACTGATGCGCATAGCGAGGGCAGGGCTCTAGAACATCACCCTTGTTGGCTCCCAAAATGTTGGCTCTGCTAATCGAGTTCCCATCTTGGCTACTGTGCCGACAATAGTAGATGCGCGACCACTTGCGTTGACGCAACGAGTAGACCCAGAACGAGTTTGATGCATCCATATGCTGTATGTCTCGGCGATCCTTAATCTTACTCAGACTCTAGAATGCACTTATTAGTTAAAGGTGTGATCATTATTCGACTTTAGACTTACGGAGAATACGTAAATTTCGTCGCGTTCACAATCAATCGTCGCACGCAGTGTGTATCCTGACGATGGCTCAAATTTGGCCTCATTGCCAGCGGTGGTGCCTTGGTTCGGATGTTCTTTGTTGAGCACTGATATGGCTTGGGTATCCACGTCGTAGCTGAGGAACTCATCCAGATCCTCCTTGCCACGCTGACCGCCATATATGTAGAGTTTTCTTTGTTTCTAATAAATTTGATTGTGAATTGAGTTTTCTCTTCGCTACAAACACTGAACGGGCTTACATTGTGGAAAACCATGCAGTGCGTGATGCGTGACTTTATAGACATAACATCAGTCTGCGACGCACTCGTGTGATGACAGTCGACAAGGATTTGGGTCCAGGTATTCGTTGCAATATGGTAGGAGAACAGTCCCGAGTATTCGGGCTCGATGGCACCTGTGGCATTGACACTGCGTGGTGTTAGTATTTTTCCGCCAAATACGTAAATGGTTCGCTTGTCGGCATCAATGCACATCTGGTGGTCGTAGACGAGCTGCGGCCCACCCACCTGACTGGTGTCATCACAGATCTGCATCCAGTTTCGAGCCCGCGTATCGTACAGATAAAAGTCACTCTTAATGCATTCTGAAGATCGTATCAAGTTGTCTAGGTAACGACCAAGTATAAAGATGTTTTCGCTTATCGGATCAAAGATCATCTTGTGGCAGGAACGCGGCGTTGGACCGCCGGATTGCTCCGACCGTTCGCATAGCAGCGTCCATTCATCTTCCTCGATCTTATATACCCAAAGGTCACTCAGATCTTGATAGCCATCCCAGCCTCCATACAAATATATGAGGCGTTTTTTCGCATCCACCACCAACTGATGGCCACCACGAGTGCCTGCAAAACAAATATTTAGATATGTTTCCCATACACATATTGATATGGGTGTATACAGACCAGGTTTTACCTCGCTTTCAGTGTGTTTCATATGCCAGTTGTGCTTATAGTCTTGCTTGTAAAGATATTCGTCCATGAGCCCCTCATCGATGCACTCGGCGATGAAGCGCTCGGCCTTCTCAAAGTCCCCTTGCACCACCTTTGAACGTAATCATGGGAATCGATGAACAAATTTAAATCACTGAAATTACCGAGTCATTACCAGGTATTTGTGCAGTTCACTGATGAGCGGGTGCTCCAGTTTCACATTTGTTTGTTCCTGAAGCGCCCCGAAGGCACTCATGTAGCCCTGCTGCCGGAAGTGCTTGAGGCACAGCTTGATAATCTCAATTTCTCGTAGTGTATTATAGTTCTTCATCCTCGCACACGTATACATGGGATCGTCTTGGCCGTGGATTTCGATGTACCATATACTAAAGTTGAACGATGGACCCCAAGACAGCAGTGGAACAATCTTGAGATACAGTACTGGTAGATTCTCCGAACCGTCTTCGGTCATGCAGCGCAGGTTGAATACTTCTGGTATATTGTCGTTCTTGAGACCACTGCAAATAAATAAAACAGTTTCTGATTTGAAGATTGTAGGAGTGTACTGCAGAGCTCACCCCTCTAGCAACAAGACCATGTGCTCATCCTCCAGGCCCCCAAATACACGAAACTTCTTGATGTTGCAAACGTGCGACTTCTCGAATTTGCCAAATTTGATTTTCTTCACAATGGCGGGGCGTCGCAGCTTCAAGGTAAGAAACTGTGGGGGGATGTTGGTGTAGGCTGACCAGCGGGACGTTTGATCGTTCGGGGTGTCTACGAGTATATTCCTGAAAATTAATCAAAAAAGAACAAAACATATCTGATAGCTGAACGGTAAACGCTAAATGCATATGTACATATCACACATACATATGTATATGCCCAATTGACAACAACAATTACGAAATGCAACTGCAGAAGAACTGCAATGAAAAGCGTCTTATCCCTTTCCCCCTCTCACCAATCACTTACTCAGGCAGATAATTTGGCGAATAACTGGAATAACGGTAGATCTCAAAGTTCAAACGCTCCGAGAGGGAAAATGGCTTCTGGCTCCCACTTGTGCTTGTGTTTGTCCCAGACACGGCATTTATGGCGGCGAAAGAAGAAAGAGCCACTGAACCGTGGGAGCTATTGTCCGTGGGGCTGGAAGTTGAGGATGATGACATCGCTGCTTAGTGCAAAAATAATTGTATCTATAAAGTATAGAGGTGTGCAGCGGCGACCAAAGCTGCAGGTTTTATGCTGTTGCACTTCTCCTCGACAATTCGTTGTCGTTGTCTCCTGTTCCCACACCCACAAAGCTGCGACAACAACACCCAGAACAGCTGGCACACATCGATAAATGGATAACTTGACTCGACTCACGCGTATTTTTCTTACCTATAACAGGAGGAAGCGATTAATATATACATATTATCAGAATTATCAATATATGATGGTCCTTAAATAATATTTAAGGTATTTGAATTTACCAGTTGATCTCTCCAATTCAATATACTATATATTCTGAGCTCGTGAAATTGTTCTTGAAAAATTTGTTGGTGGCTATCTTGCTCTCTTCTTTTGGAAATTGTTCTTTTTCGTGAAAGGATTTTTTTATCAAAACAATTACCCTGCAACAATTAGACTTATTCCACTTCAAACTAGCCAGTCGTATAGAAAACTAATTAATCAATAGGGTAAAATTATGTGTTTCGGGTTGGAGGTCCTTTCTAGCTTGTTGTATCAAATCGAATATCAAAATCGACGAATTTGACTTCCGAGCATTGACAGAACAATTAACACATTGTATACCAGTGGGTATTAAAATACAATCCAGGAAAATTATGAAAGGTGAAAGATATGGTGGTCTTTTATGCATAAAAGAGTAATTATTATTATCACTCAAGTTGTTGTCCAGTTTAAATAAATGGGGGCTTAAGTGGGCTAAGTTCTTTTTTTTTATCGTTATATGTACGGTATATTTTGAAATATGTGAAAAATATGTGGCTTCCGTGAGTACGAAAAACGGAAATAATTGTAAAATCATCGTTAACAAGTATTATGTGGGGCATAAAGGCCCGAATAATGCCAGAAAGGCTAAGCAAAATCGAGGAGATTGCGGACAAGATCACAACAAGGATATTATCTGCTCAGGGCTGGTCTGTGCAAACTGCAAGGGGGAACATTCTGCCACTCACCCGCAGTGCGAGGCCAGGAAAAAGGCGTACGCCATACACTTTAACTTTATCGCCTACAAATCAGAAAAAAAGGTTCAACAAAATCAACATCTAAGAACTGTAGAGCTTCACTACATTCCCGGACACGCTAAGAACACTTCAGTTGACGCAGCAGCAAAGAAGCCCACAGACGAGGGAAATACACAGTGGTTAAATGGAACCTTACTGCTCGCTTTTCCCCTCAACATCATCCAAGCCGTGGTTCCTTAAAGCCATTGCCGCTAAAAGAATCAACAGACGGTTTAGTGCTTGCCAAAATTCAAGTTCCTAGTAACATATGTGATACATGCGATAGTATCGATAAGGCCTCGCATTTAATTTTAAATTGTACCAACAACAACACAACCGGGCAAAACTTCCCATCTCTAAGAAAGTATAATCTACAAATTCTTTAAAAAAGAAAACATCAGCGCGAACCACTAATTGACTTCATCGACGAAATTGATGTAAAACAACATCTTCTATTCTTTGTCTTGGCAATTTCCACCTTCAAAAGGTCCCGCCTTAAGCACTAATACAAAAAATAAAAAGAAAAATTAAAGAGTAAATTCTCATTAATCAATTGTCAGTAATCTTTTAATTTAAACCATCTTTCCTAGGAAATCAATCAAAAAATGCGTAAATATCAACAGCTGGTGCTGTTGCTCATCTCCTGCTTGAGCGTGGGCGTGCTCCTGATGTACAAGACGGAAAACAATCGTCTCAAATATGTCCTCAAGTACGTGAACTTCTTTGGGCGCAGCGATGTCGCCGTGTTGCGCCGCTTGGAGAACGGAACGAAGGAAGATCTGCCGCAAACGGCTCTATGGCGGCCGATGCCAGTGTGGCAGGTGATCGGGGATTCCTTTCATGCATACTCCGCCTACTGGATGCGCAAGGAGTTGGTGGCCGGCGGAGAAGCCCACGTCCTGGTTGTTGGCAAACAGGGAGCTGTGGTGGACTTCCGATGCAGCCTGGCTGTTGGCGGGAGTCGCAGTGTACAGGGAAAATTTCGATTCCAACGCGATGCCAGTGAGGGTCTGCTCAACGACAAGAGCACAAACTTTACCAGCTACCATTTCTTCTGTCAAGTGAGTCGTGATTTCGGTCAGCCAGAGAGTGTTTCATTCACGGATATCACGTCGATCAGGAGCCCAGTCAAGATACGCTTGCATCATCTCAAGCGTGCGAGTGGGAGCACAGACGCCAAGGCAGCAGCAGCAACAGCACCATCACCAGCTCGCTTACCGGCGACCGTCTGTGTGGATCTTGTGGGCTTCAACATGACCTCAGGGTTCGGTCGCAACGAAAACGCCCTACTTCAGTTCTTTCTGATTCATCAGGCTCTCGGCATTGAACACTTTCTGGTGTACAACTACGATGAACTCCCGGAGAATATCATCCGCGTGCTGGACCGAACTAATATCCATCTGTACGCGCTTCCTTTCAACTTTCCCTTCCTGCTAAACAACGCCACTGCCAGCCGGGTGCGCGAGCTAATCCAGACCGATTGCTTGCTGCGGAATGTGAACCAGGCCAGCTTCACTATACTGCTACAGCCGAACGAAGTATTCTATCCAAATTCACGCTTTGCTGCTGATCGTTCCCAGAATTCGCTGCAGCAGCAGCTGCGACACTTCTCCGCCGACACAGCACGCTTCGAGCTGGCCACGTTTGCCGTGTGCTTTGACGAGCTGAAGAAACTGTTGCTCGACAATATTCAATATGACCCGGAATGCAAAGCTCCCTACAAAATGCTCCTAGACCGCCTGGATCTTCCCCCGACACAGCTTCTGGCGAGCACGGCACATGTTGAGCTTTCGCTATCCACCGGATTCGTGCATCGTTATGTGGATTGTGCCCGTGTGGGGGCCGATGGTCTACACGACTGGCGCAACGGAGTGCGAAAGGACTTCATGGACCACATCAACAGTCTCCGCAATGAGGTAGATCTTCTCATTTAAGCTAAGCCCTTTCGTTGTTTAATTTAGTCGTAAGTCTGAGTTTACATGTAGCTCATAATTTGAGAGATTACTTGACTGCCATAAAGAGAAGGTCCAGAAATTGTATATTGGATATATAATAGACAATTGTACACACTGAATCCGCTATAACTTCACCGTTAATTTGATAAGCCCGATGCTCTCCACAAGGAAAACGTAGCTTTGGTATTCAACTTAGGATTCTACTTGAGACGTTGCATGAGCGCGGCATTCTTGAGGCCAGCCTTCTCGATGGTGGAGCTATCATCGCTCAACTCACGTGTGGGGAACGAAGAGACCAGGGTGAAATTGCTGGCCGAGTACTGTGGACGAGCTCTGAAATGGAGAATGATTCACTGTTCGAAAGCATGCAAATATTATACGAGCATATTACGTTTGTATGAATCGACGAATGTCCGAGACGGTATGTGTCAAATTGAACTGCGCAGCCAGACGTGAGCCGTCTGCAAGACGAATCTGCAGAGTGGTCGATGGAGCTTCGGAATTCAAATTAATGGCCTCACGAGCATTGGCCTCTTGTTGGGCAGCTTCGGCGGGAGGCGCGGCCGCAGCAACTACAGGAGCCTTTGCGGTGGCAACATTTGCCACGGGACTGCCGAGCTTCTGCCCGGAACCTTTGAATGTCTGAGGTACAGCCTGGCGTTTGAAGTCCTCGTGTCTGTGATCCTCTACATCGACGTTGACCATGCGACCCATTTCCAGCAGTTCCTGAGGTATTTCCCTATTGAAACAGAAGCATTCCCAATTACAATTGCTATCTCGCTCCTGAATGTCGAAAGTGATCGTTGCTTACCCGCGCATGACAGTCTCTAGGAATTCTTTGTTCTCCGGATCATCGTAGTGACGCAGTTCTCCCCCATCGATGGAGAAACCTTGGCTCCAAAGTTTAAGTACCACTACCGGTTTGTTGCTCGACGTCTCTGCAGCACGATTTATGCCCACGGCTGTGTGATCGCTATCGGTCATGCCCAGACGCATTCCCTGGCCCCAAACGTTTCCGCTGCCACCGCCTCCGGAAGATCCACTACTGGTCGATGGACCAAGATCGCTAACGTTTTGCTCCTGAGCTGAACGCATCATATCGGAGAGTTGTTCGCGAAAGTTCTTGCGTTTGGGTGGACCCAATACTTGTTGGCCAGAGCGGTCTGAGCCCCCGGCATAGAATGCCTGATGCTCTTCGTCATCTGAGGGCTCCTTGGACATGTCGTTTAGTGTGGCAAACCTGTTAGCAAATAATTGTTACTTTAAGACTTCTAGGCGTTCCAGTCTCACAAAGCTGTGCACTTACTTTGGCTTGGCCTTTGGGACTTTTTTTCCAGCGTCAGCGCCGGCGCTTTTGGTTGCTGCACCACTGCTAGAAGTCGGTGCTACTGGTGTAGTTGGCGATGGGTCATTCGACTGCCCCGTTGTCGGAGTAGGTGGCATGTCACTTTGGGTGTTCCAGTAGTTACCCAAAGCTTGCTAACAGGGCAGAAATGCGTTAGTTTTGCTGCATCATTGCGAAGTCGCCGGCCCTTGCATGTCTCACCTCTATGTCCCACTCGGAGCTGTTCAAGTAGAACGTGGCCGTGTTGTCGTCAGTACCGGTAATTTCAATGAATTGTGCAATCATATCGCCGCGAGCGGCCATTGTATCAATTTATTTTTTAATATTTTCACGTAAATGATAGACAAAAAATCCGTACACGTCAGTGTGGCCCTATGAAAATTTGTATAAACAATTGTTCGATAGATTCCTTCGATGTGTACTGATTTTCTGGCAACGCTAGAATGTAGGCGCAGAGCTGCAAAGCAACGCTTGCTTTTTCTACTAAGTTGGTAGTTTTCACAAAATTCCGTTGAATTTTAAAATTCCGACCCAACGGAAAGAAAAACACAAATCACGCCAATTTTTTGACATATATTTTAGTAAGCATTCACATTTGTATAAAATAGCAACTAAATAACAATAACTAATATATGTAACACGAAGTATCCAAAGCTAGACATGACCCACCGATATGCGTATAAAAAGTATAAAAGTATAGACCTTTATTCAGTTGCATTTTTCTGAAAATAAAAATGTGAGTACGGGATAAATAATGCGCAGTTGGGCAAGTGCTTCCAATCCGTAAAAACACATATAAGAGTACAGTTTTTTGTTTAAATTTAGAGTTTCGTGGATCCAAACAAACACAAAACCGTCGCTCAATATTCTGTCAGTAAGGTAATGTACGTGTGTGTGGTGGTTGTGGTTAGTATCAGCATAGCATGAAACCCAGTACAGAAACTAATCTATGAATATAAATTTATTTCAAACAGATCCACATATAAACGGTTGGGTCCACTGGTTCGGTTTACGGCGTGAAGGTCTCTCGGATCCGCCCTCGATCCTAACGCGACAACAGCTTACCCTAGATACGGCGGACAATAGCAGTGTATGAATTGGGAAGAGTGAGAGTGAAGGGTGTAGATGTTGTTGTGGTGCAAGTTCGAGTGTTGTCCAAATAATGTTGTGTGTTCGAGAGTAGGCATGGTAGAGATGTGCATGGAAGATAATCATATTTTTAATAAACACAGATTCATGTTGAGCGTGAGGATCAAGCATAAATACCTTTCTTACCTGTAGGTAATAGTTGGCCAGCACTGTCAGACCTACGCCCAGGCCGATGGCGAGCACATGTGTCAGATAGAAATTGGGCAGAGGTCGGCGCTTGCGCAGCAAGAACGACAGGAACGATCCCTTGCGATCTGAGTACGGGGGATAGCGAGCTCTGCAACAAAAACTTGTATATTACACACTGTGCCCCAATCAGCAATGGAAATTGTAAACTTACGAGGCCAACTTCTCACCGACCGCCGACAGATCTTTGCCCAGACACGACTTCTTGTGTGTAAAGGTGTCAAAGCCGTACTTTCCGTGGTAGGAGCCCATGCCGCTCATGCCAACGCCCCCGAAGGGCAGCACATCAACTGTTGATTTGAGCAGAAGCCATATGAGCACTTGTATTTATAAATACCTATTTAGTGCTACCACCAAAGTTATGATTAGCTATCTTAGTTACTCTTACGATTAGATTCGTATCTACACCCAAGCATTAAGTTGTAAAGCAAATTCCAGCCAAAACCAATTTCATTAAGTCCAAACTCAAGCCGAAAACCAAACCCAAACAAAGAGCTTTAGTTCAAATTAACAGAAAAGGAGTGCCGCTGGGTGCTTGTCTTACTGGGTTGTGCTGTTTGTAGCTGTGGTGCTCTTGGTGTTCGTTGTCTACAGTCAAGTGTCAGAAGTGCATAATTTGCAATTCAAAAACTGATTGATTGAGTGGTGCCGCAGACCCCTTTAAATAGAACACAAGTGTCGGGTGCAACTTCCATCATGGATATACTACTTTACTACCACTAAGATCTCTTATCTATATATATAAATACATATGTACAGTAGCATAGAAAATACCTCCACAATGCATAATAGTTTCGTTGCTGCAGAATCCGCCGCTTGTGGTATTGCTCTTGAACTCTTTAACTAGCTTGTTTGAGTTTGAAAACACGTAAATTACAAGAGGTTTCTCTCTAATTACGGGGAGTAAGGAAGGAGAAGGGAGTAATTGTTAAACAGATTAAGTGACAGTTTTTATAAACATAAGAGTGCAGTTGACTTCTTCGAGCATCAACCGGGGCTAAAAAAAGAGTAACACATAAAAGACAAACCAAGAAACATACGCAGTTCTGTTCGAAAGTTTTCTGTCCCCATCTACAGATCTGCGAACATCATCAATGATATGAATATAAAACGAAATGCGGAAAGTTTGATGAAAAGTGTAAGGGGAGCAACGTGTTGGATCGTTAGAGATACTCCTAGCTGCCCGGGCGAATCTATCGCCGGGTGGGTTGGGATTGGGTACAATAAAACAAGGCAGGGAGCATACAACGAGGGAGCTAAGTATATACAAAAAATATTTATCACCGCCACCAGATGCAAATAAATTTAAAATACAAATTAAACAAACTCTCTCAAACTACAGTTCGAGCCTGGAAATTTTTTTGGAAAAAAATAGGAGACCAAAACCGTAGAGGGAAAGTAAGACTATATAGAGGCGGAACGGACTACTTGGGATCGTATCGTATAAACCGTAGCCGCTAGCGTTATCCACATCCATTAGCGTCTTGATTTTTTATTTGATTTGACCTTGTTGCGGTCTCTTACCGGCATAATGCATTATCGTGTCATTCACGCACATTCCGCCCGATTGTGTGCCGTTTACGAACAGATTTTGAACCTCTGTTTCCGATGTGAAAATATACAGGACAAGTGGACTCTCTCTAAGAGAAAAACATTTCGAACCGGACATTGGTATTGTGATATTGGTGTGTTTTTGTTGTTGTTGGTGTATTGTGGTATTGTGGGAGATGCAAAAGACAAATGAACAGACAGGGACAAGGGGCAGTCAGTCCTGACGTGGCACACAGACGGACATACCTGGCATTGATGAACTTGATCGCATCGTAGGCACTCTCCACGGTATAGATGGGCAAGATGGGGCCGAAGATCTCCTCTTCCATAATGGGGTCGTGGGGCTTGACATCGACCAGGATAGTGGGCTCAATGTAACGCTCGCTGGCATCGTACTTACCGCCCACAGCGACGCGTCCCGACTTCATTAGCCCAAGCAGGCGCCTGTAAGGCAACAAGTAGTGTCTCAATCAGTCATATTTCGTGTACCATTCTGCTTTCTTCTCACTGGAAATTGCCGCTGTTGATGACACGGCTCAGGTCGGGGCTGCTCTGAATGTTATCGCCGTACCACTCTTTGAGCACGTCCTTGGCTTCGGCCACGAACTTGTCCTGCATCTCCTTCGAGCAGAGGATGTAGTCGGGGGCAATGCAGGTTTGGCCGCAGTTTATTAGTTTGCCCCACAGGATACGCTTTACAGCTGTGCGCAGCTCCACCGACTTGTCAATGTAGCAAGGACTGGAAGAAGAACAACACGCATGAATCACCCGCCATCCGATGCTGTCCGCGCTGCATGCTCACCTCTTGCCGCCTAGCTCCAGGGTGGTGGGCGTCAGGTGCTGGTTGGCCGCCGCATGAA